TGGTATTATGTTGCCACCATATGGCATTACAGACTTACGGTAGAATTTGGTATTCTTACAAAACATGTGTGCGTGCATAAACATACAAAAGAGAATAGCAGCAGTATTACTGAGCTAGTAACTGGTAAGATTCAAGTAATGCCAGTAGAGTAGTGTTTGTTTTAGTGTACTTCACCAACTAAGTACAATATAGACTACCATAATACAATCTATTCATTGTTATGACTGATAGCTTAAAAACTTGATAGGACTATAATACCATCTGTTTGTGTTATGATTGATAGTTTGAAAACTTGATACTGAACATAAATGCGTACTACCAAGAAAGAAATTTGTAACTACTAAAGTTTAGGGTATATTTTTTAATAGAGTCAAAAGACATTATCAATCTTGTATTTTGTACAGCAAACAAAGTACATCATAGTATTTTTCTTCAATTATCTTTATTTTTACTGCAAATTTGTCCAGTACTGCACTGTAATGCTACTTAACAAATTATTCTAGTGCTAAAAATGTGACTACTGATCTTATGCTCTTTTCGGATCCCTCTCAGATAATAAATACTGCATACTAGATATCTATACACATCTTGGTGCACAATACTAAGAAATTGGTTGAGATAATTATTTATAGGACATTGCTGGAAACATTACTGAAGAAAGGAAAAAAGATATTTGGCATGAAACTAGTATCAACCAATACTTGAGGCAGTTGAAACAACTGCAGGTTTATGAAGTGATGTCTCATAACAATTGTTTGATGTTAGGCAAATTGTCTTGGATATGCTATGAAAGACATGACAACACGTGTACATATAGAGGTTTGTTGTGTATCTGTGTTTCATGTGTCCAATTTTTTCATGTATCCATCTATCAAGGAAACTAAGGTCAATACTTTTGTCTGCATTTAATGTTCTTAATAAACATATGGAAGTAGAATCAAATACCTTTTTTGAAGATCCACAGGGAGAGCTTGCTCATCAAACCTCCACTTCTTATAGAGTTCTGAAGAGTAGTCCATGGAATTTTTACCTAGTTGCAGTATTTTCTCGAGTACTCCACCAGAGCAAATAAGAAAATTCCGAGCCAGTGCATTTATATGCATTGTGTCTTTGAAATGTGGATCCAATAGCCGATGAATCGGATGCATAGCACTTAACTGCCTTCTTGTTGCGATGATAAATGGCTCCACCACAGCATGAGTATGCAACCTAGAAATTGCTTTACATATAAATGTCAGTCCGTAAAATAGAAAGAGTTTGATAGTGTATCTGGGATTTCACTTTAAATTTAATTAGTAAATATAGCTAGAAGTTGATAAGAGAAACATTGTTTTGACTTCGAGTTGTGAACAAGTGCTCTGACTCACCAATGACTTCCTAGTTGATGGTGGAGCGAGTCATTAGCTGCAACATGAGCTCTAGCCATATGCCAGAGTGCAGCATCTGTGCCTTGGCTCACCGGAAGGAACACCCTTGTATCCAAACCTTCGCTCAATGTTATTGCCAGTGTCTTCAATGTGGCATCACTTCTTGAGAAGAAGAGTGTTTGGGATGCATAAACAGATAGCTTTTCTGAATCCATACGCTTGCTGCTGCTTCCATCAATAAATGGCTTCAGATGTTCCTGGTGATCTAATATAAATATCCTCCTTTCCTGAATTGCCTGTGATGATCTAGAACCAATTATTTATCTAGGAAAATTATATTAATAATATAATTAGCTTTTCTCTTGCAACTCTACATCTCAATCGTCAAACACAAGTATATAGCACGTTGTCTTGTTTCATTAGATTAAAAGTAAGTTAGAAATGCTTTAAGATCAAGGGATATGTAATTACCGAGTGGAGAGACAAGCCCTCAAGGCTGTGCGCTATATCTGATTTCTCTAATTTTGGTAAGAAGCCCTGTAGAATTCAGACTGTCACGGTAAAAAATTGTGCTTTATGCATAACACATTGATCAATATTAATTAATAAGTAGTTGCAAGTAATTGTTATTAGCTTATTGGTTATTCGACATTATTATGATTTTGTGACAGGTTACAGGTATGATTACCTCTATCTCTTGAATAGACTTCACTACTCGAATTACTATTGGGTTAATTCCAGCGAGTGTTTGATGTGCAAATACATCATCATTCTTCCATGCCAATTCATCATCTGAAGAAAACTAAATATATTATATGTTGGTGAGGAAATGTTGGGAACTTGTTTACTTTCTATGATTTGAGAGTATATAATCACCTGCTATAATCTGAGGCAATGTGAATTTCTTGGGAACTTGTTTACTTACAGATGTAATTTGCTTGAAAATGTCAGCCGGCAACAAGTTCTTTAGTTTGAGTAACACCGCTCTCTCTGTTTCATGACTTCTATTGCTAGAATACAAGTCAAGTATCTCATCAAATACACAAAAGCTTTTTGGATCTTTGTAGATGGCAGACTTTGCCTCAGGTATGATGAAATGTACAGCTGCTTGGATTGAATTCTCTATCAACTCTGACATTTTCTTGGGACTAAATCTCTCATCTGGAGGAACATATACATGTTCCAAATTTATCATCCCAGGTTGGGTCTCTTCAGATTTACCTAGATATAATATCAATGATCGGTGACAATAAGTAGATATAACTTCTATGGATCTATTATTTATACTCTGATATGCTTTTTACTAGCAAATAGAATATTAATGCCTCAATCTGACATTGGACAACCTGTTCTTCCCCTTCGAGGATATGGATGTGATTCAGAGCCACCTAAAACATGTCTGCAATTGTAGACATCATAGTCGTAGATTCGATCCCATTCTTGCCTCTCTCCTTTTCCATCTCCTCTTAAGCTTTTAAGTTCTTCCTTCCTCAACTCTCTGAGCGCAATAGGTGTTTCTTTGGGAAGGTAACTCTGACACAAGAACATTTATGTAAAATCACAAAGGTTGTTTTGGAATAATTTTAGAGTTTAAAACATGAGGCAGGAAATGATTTGTTTCAAATATAGGCTTACAGTGTTCGAGAAGAAGATCCTGGGAGTTGAAGTTTTGTTGAGGGGGTAAACCCAGGAGTTGCAGTCAAAGTGGATAAGTTGATTGGTGGAAAGTTGAAGAAATGCATATCGAAGGAAGAATTTATGTTTATGTTTGTTTTGTATGAGTAGAGCTCCTGGAATTCCAAAATCAGACTCCACTTGAAACTTTATTCTGTAGGTTGTTGTTTTGGTGCCATTCTCATCCTTGCTCTTCCCATGCTTCAACTCTGCCTTTTCACTTAATGTCCCTTTGCCGGTCTCTGTCACTAGAAATGATATAATTCACACTGTAAACTAAGTTTAAAATGTTTCCTAGGCAAATTTCACTAATAATCCTGTATCCAGTTTCAAAATTAATTAACACCAAAAGAAAAAAGAAAAAGCTTACTTGGGTCTACTTGTGAGGCACTGTAAATCTGTACAAATGCTAATCTTCCAGGACCCGATAGGCCTGGAGTATGCTCAACAACAAGTTTTCCCTTGATAATGTTTTTGTTAGACTCACTGACACACAGAATCTGCAGGTTCATCTGGGTCTGAACTGCTCCAATAAACTCTCGCAGGCCATTATGGTGATGATCATGTTTACCCATTTTGTTTCTTCTCCCTCTGTTTATTTTTTTTCTACTACTTTGGGAATTAATTGATTAGTTGTCTTGTGAAGATGTAATGTTATGTATTCAACCAAAAGACATTATGGAGGGATGATCCTATACTTGCATGACAACGTAAAGGAATTTAATTCTTTAACTAAATATAAAGCTGAAAGCCAAATCCCCATGACTTGGGTTTTTGAACTTTGTATCTTATTCTTTGCCAACCTCTCAGGTTTTCTTCTTTAGTCTTCCCCACTCAATTTGAAATAATTCTACAGTGTAATATAAAAATAACTAAACTTAAAGAGGAAAAGAAAGCTAGCCACAGTCCATTTATTATTATTTTATATTTTTTTTATCACATATTCAAGTTTAAATTTATCAAGACCTCAAGTTTAACAGAATTGAAATCATTCCAAGTTGAACAGATTTGATGTACAATTCAACTCAGTCCAATCCTGTTCATTTAAGATTGAACTCAATAATTTGGATTGAATGCCAAATGTTGTTTATGAATTTAAAGTTATCATTACTCATATATAACTTAAAAATTCATATTAATATTACAGATGGTTAAAGAAATAGTTATTTTCATAGTAAATTGTATAATTATTGTATCGTATTGTAGACTGTAGACTCAATTTCTTTTTCTTCTCTTTGTTTCTCTGGAAAGCAGCAGAATTGGCAGGTGCTGTTTTCCCGCAGGAAACATATCCGGATAGTGTGAAGCGGCTTTTTGGGCCTCCAGGCCCATTTTCCCGTTTGCTGACATCACTCCCCAATAGCCGATTTGCTTCCTTCATCTTCCCAGACCCGATTTCACACAACTCTTCTCTGTTCATCCTCGCTCAAATTGTCTATCTTCTTGCACAGGTACGATTTAACTTTACTGCTGATTGAGTTTGTTGTCCAATGAAGAATGAA